CCAGCAGCACTGCCACCTAGTGGTGACCTTCTGACTGGATTGTTAGATACTTTCTGCTGAAGAAGGGAGTTTCTTCTTTCCACAAAGTTGATCTGAGACTAGCAATCATGTATATGCATACTTAATGTATGAATACTTTTGTTTTCTTTTGAGTTTAACATCAGGTTTCAGGTTTTTGAAGTCTTTGAGTGAGGTTTAAGGGGAATGAGTTTGAAGTTAATAGTGAAGGAGTAATATCACAGGTCTGACAAAGCTTGTAGCACACTAAAAGACATGTAAATCAGGGCCTCTCTATTAAAAGAAATGTTGATTACTGTGCCAATTATTTTCCTGATTAGTCAAAAAATCATTTTGTCTCCTTCAGTGTCTTCATAATGCTTGATTTGTCCCATCAAACCAGCAAATATTCTAATTTTTGTGGCATTTTTTGGCTTTAAAACCATGTAATTAATCATGTCAAAATAGTTGGCACATATTTTTCCGCCTGTCAAGTAATTAATCGACATTCAGATAAACTCCTGCTCAAATAACGTCTTCTATTAACCTGAAAGGTCACATTCATATTCAGGTAATTGCCCTTGGACCTGTTAGTTTGCATGAATTTTTAACTTTCTGTAAATCATTTAGACATTTTAACACATTGGCCTCTGCAGTTTAGCAAAAACGTGTGTCATCAGTTGTCATTGTGCTGTGGCATTTATCCTGAACATTGTTAATCGATGCTGTAGTTCGTCAGTAACCCAGTAGGTGGCGGTGTGTGTCTGAGCATTGCCTCCACTGAACCACTGCTCCTGTGCTGTGCTGTTTCAGTGACCACAGACACTTTGAGCATACGGATTTGGTTAGTGAGGATATCACTGTGTGATGTAACAGGGCCAGGCAGCCCCGAGGACAGTTTCTTTCTCTCTCTCTCTGTCCGCTTCATAAAGGCCAAACCCAAATAACAAAAGAATTTATACTGACGTCAGGGGACAGAGACTCAGTCGTGTAGTTTCGTAACGCAGTTTGGACTCAGAGCCTGTAGTAATGTGTCACATGTTTGTGGACAATTAGATTTGCATGCTTATTTGTAACAGGTGGTGATTTCACTACATTTTTTCCAACTGTTGAGTGTGGAGTTTTTCCATTTAGTTGTTCCTGATGGAAACCTCTGAATTTAACCTTTAAATTGAATTTAAATACTGAGCAAATAGGCAAAGCATTCTGGGTGTGTTGTCTTTGTGTGTTAGTTATTTGCTTGCTGATGTTGTTTATTCTGTTAATCCAAGGTCATGTGTAGCTGAGTTTCCTGCATCGTTTGTTGTGTGTTATGTGCATGAAAATATTACAAATAATAATCACGTTTGTCAGATTTTTACTCACCAGTCAGATGCTACAGTTCCTATTGTATACATGCTGTTTCTAGTTAGTGTTTCATAAGAAGAGGTCTTAAATTAAATTACACATTAGTCTGTAGTTGCTGGACTAAAAAAAAGTAGATTTAGTTGTGTTACAGATGTTTTTATTGATTAATGTCCATTTCTTTAATCAGCTTTAAGGGAACATTCACCCAATAATCAAAAATATATATATTTTTCCTTTTCCTGTAGTGCTATTTATCAATCTAAATTGTTTTGCCGAGTGTTGGAGATATTGGCCATAGAAATGTCTGCCTTCTCTCCAGTAAAATGGAACAAGAACAAACGCCAAAAAAAGTACATTTAAAAAACTGAACAGCAATGTCTCTTTCCAGATATCATGACACGCTTACCCAAGATAATCCACAGACCTTGTCGTGAGCAGTTTCATATAGGAACTATTTTCTTTCTACCAAACTACACCCACAAACCATATCACCATGCAGAAGAAAGCTAGCTAATGTAACAGCTCAGCTACAAAGGACGACATTGATATTTACATCTTAAGGTGTCTCAAGCCAACCTGTCCTTATACAACGGTTTGTGTGATATCTTACAAAAATGCACATCCAACGAATTAGTGCCCCATAAATTACATTATGTACTTAGCGTAAAGTTACGCACTTAAAGGTAGACGTAGGTTAGGTTTAGTTAAGTAAAGTTATGTAGGTTGGGTTTAGGAGAAGAAACATGGCGACAACGTACTTTAACTCAAAGCTACTTGTTTTCACACAGTCCTTGATATAATCAAACAGACCTTGTTGTAGCCAATTTCATGTAGGAACTATTTTCTGTCTACCGAACTACACCTGCCAACTATATTACTGTGCAGAAGGGAGTGTGCATCCACTCATGGAAGAGAGGGTTTAATTTGGTAGAAGGAAAATAGTTCCTACATGAAACTGCTCACAACAAGGTCTGTGGATTATCTTGAGTAACCAGGTCATAATTTCTGGAAAGAAACATTGCTGTCGAGTTTTTCAAATGTATTGTTTTGGCATGTAGTTCCATTATATTGGAGAGAAGGCAGACATCTCTACAGCTGATATCTCCAACACTCTGCACCTCACACCGTAACAATCGAAAATGATAAACAGCGCTAAAGGCAAGAGGAAAAATATGTATTTTTGATTTAGGGGTGAACTGTCCCTTTAAACTAACCTCAGTAAGGCTTCTAACGCTGGTGTGGTTCTGGCACTTTCTCTCCCACCGACGCAGACAGTGGGACACCAACCCAGCACAGAGTGTTATTCAGCGTTTGTGGTCAACATTTCATAAAAATTTCAATAAGCTTATGATTGCAGCTCTCGGAAACATAACTCCGAGACAGAGTGGCATTCTGTGTGGTTTCATGTGTGTGTTTGTGTCTGGCGGGGGTCTTAACACAGAGTCCCCGTTGTCCCTCCCCTCTGCTGTCGCCACATCTACCTCCAGTTGCCGCCGACAAAGGCATCCCAGTAGCTGCAACCAGCTTTGCAACACACACACACACACACACACACACACACACACACATTCAGTGCCCCAGTGTGCACCATTAGACAGTGGAGTAGCTGTACTGGCTGCCAGCTCTCAGAGAGGGCCACTTTGTTTCACCTCTGACTTGGATTCACGCCAAACAATCCGAGAGTCGCTCACTGGGTCACTTGATGAAGTAATTGAATGGGGAGTTTATAGTTGTGCAGCGTAGTTCCTTTATTTTTTTCTCTGCGAGGTGCTTTATTGCTTTCTAGTCCAGTGGTCAGTCGCACAAATCACTGTCACTGTCTTTGTAAAAGCTTTTCTGTTGTATGAGTAGCCAGTTTGTCCACTGCAGAATGAATGATCAGTATTTTAAGCATCTGTGTGACTACATAATCATTACCGGACTGTGTTTGAGTGGGTTTTAGTTGACACGTTTTGCTTCCTGGAATTGAGCAGGAGTGTGGAAACATTAAGGTAGTTAGTAAGATAGTTGCTTGATTAAAAATCAATTGACATTTCTGATAATCAATTGATCTTAAAATAATTTATGAAGAAAAAATACCACGTTTTCATTGGTTTTAGTCTTAAAAATAATAAATTTTAGTAATGGCTGCTTTTCTTTGTTTCATACCATCAAAAAATAAGTAGCAGCCGTGTCAAGGATTGTGCCATGTACGGGATAATGTGCAGTGAGCAGGTCATTATTGTGAATTGAACCCCACATGGTGATGCAGGACTTGAATCGGGTCTTGAATCACCAGGTAGGGCATCTTTTTAAAATCTTGACCAGTTTACTGTGCATTATCCCTACACAGGAGAGGAATCAAGAATTTGACACAAAATATTGAAATTTAAAATTATTTTTTGCATTTAAAAATGATTATATTGCTTCATCTACAGGAGATGCTTCCATAGCAACAGCCTGTTATTCATAGCAACGGTCTGCTCTTCAGAAATAACAGACCAAAGAACGCCGTAATTAACCAATCAGAATCAGGTAATAAGAAAGCCGATTAATTACATATTATCGTCAGGCGCTCGACACTTTTGATTAGCATCATTCCACAGAAATTAAACAGTCTTGCGTGGTTTAAGTTGTCTCCATGGTAACCAGAGACCCCCAAGTCTGTTTCTGTCACCTTAAGTGAAGCATAATCTGCACAGGCGACTGTTTAAAATCACACAAATATTTCTCTGTATAGGTGTTTTTAATTTATTAATCATATCACATCGTATGTCTGTGAGAGGCAGAATTCCCTCATTCACTACGATAGGCTGGGAGATAATATCAGTCAGTAAATACAAACACTGCTAATTTCTTTCCATGGTGCTGACATGAAAAATATTTTGGTTCTGTAAATGTCTGCTGTCAGTCAGCCTGGTGAAGGCAGTTTGGCCGGCTGCCGTCCTCTCATCTTTCCAGGAGCTGACAAACGGTTACCACTGTGGGCAGAGATACTAAATGCAGGTCGAAGTCAGTGTGGATTTAAAACTATTATCTCCATGCCGATGATAGTAACGCTAGCAATCATGCAGCCCAACAAAATATGACTCCTGCGACATAAAAAATTCTCCATGTGCACATGTGACAAGTGACACTTTTTTCTATCGAAAATTCATCATCATTTCTGTCGAGTGACACTCATAATGTGTTGCACATCCTTTTATGAATCAGGCTTAACAACTCTACATACATATACTGGAATTTTTTGCCACTTTTTTCACATGTGAACACAACATTTACATATGATCACCTTATAAAACTGATATGGTGACAGTGTTGCAAGCAGTTCCCTGTTCATACAGCCAAAATATCTTGCTTGTTAGCTGCTAAATGCTCCACTGTGTTTATGAGGTATTCACTAACTTTGTCTGTCTGCTGTTTGGTGCTGAGCGAATTGTGCTCAGTGGGTTTATCAGAGCTTTTTCACTGAAACCAGCTGCCTGTTGTGGCTGAAAAGAGGTTGATGTGGTTAGAGTGAATCAAATCAGTTACAGTGGCAGTTGTAGGCCGTAAAACCAAAACAAGAGTGCATAGTAATTTCATGCATCGTTCATATTACACATATTGATTGTAGCTACTTTAAAGCTCTAGCTCTAAGCTCCTGTGTCTGACAATACTTTTCCTCTGTTCCTCAGGACCTGGAGATTGTCTACTCGTATCTCCATGGGATGGAGGCCTTGTCGAACCTGCGAGAGCACCAGCTGAGGTTTGTGTCTGCACACGCACACTCCTGGCACTTCATTAACATATCTTACAGCTTGATATTCCAATCACATGAATTTCAAATGCAAATTAAAACACTGACAACTCCTCAGTGTCTGCTCCATATAACGGTTGTAGTTGGGGTGGAAAATTAACAGAGAGCCAGCAGCCAAATGCTGGTGAAATTCGTCTGGTTTTCTAATCCAGCAGCCACTCTGCCCTACAACCACTCGTCGACTGGAATTATTTTACTCACTGCAAAGGAAATCTGCTGCTAACATGGCAAAATGACTGAAATTCAGCCTTCACTGTGACTGGCACATGTAAAAATACATTTTCCCGATTGGTCTAAAACGTCTAAAGCACAGTATTTTAAGCATGGTTAATGCCATGTAATGCCAGTAATGGTCGGGCTTATCACTTCTTAAGGTAATAGGTGATACGATCTGTTGGTGCTCGTAGGTGTTACACATTAAATGTATACAATGCAGGATTGTTGGTTACTGTTTGGCTGTTTCGGTGTGGTACCTGTGGAACCAAAAGTAACCCTTCAGACATGGTACCTAAACCATTGCGTTTCCACCGCAAACCGTACCCTTAAATGTGGGCGGGGTTGTTGTCACTTACTGCTTCGTCCAGCACTCGCTGTATTTCCTCATTACCGGTGACACCAATGTCTGCACCTCATTCATCGTCCACAGAAGGAGGCTGCATGCCGACATTTTCTGAACAAAATAAAACAGGCTGCAGTGAGTGTCCATCCGCTTTTGACCTAATCAACAGACTGCAGTGTTCACAGCTCCACCTTTGAGTACCAGATCTGTGTGCTAGGTACCCCAACAGAGGGAAGACCAAAAATAGGGACGTTACGGAACAGTTCATTGGTACCATCCACAACTTTTCACAGTGCGAATGGAAAAAAAGTATACTGAACTGGACTATACCGTACTGCTCTGTGGAAACAGGCCTGCTGCTTACGGTCTGGCACCTGGTTGCTAACTTTTTCTCAAGTCCCGACCTCACCTGAGCGCTGTCGGGGTACACACCCATAAACGTCCCCAACACAGACAGTAAGAAGGAAATGAGAAAACTGAGAAAATGGGCCATAAGTGATGATTGAGAGGGATTACTTCTATATGAGTCTGAAAAACACAATTCGGCAATCACGCCAATGTTATGCAGCATTTGGTGAAGTAAGCAGAGATTTAAAAGCAGACAGGGATTGACCTCCACCCCAAACTCCATTTTCTGTATTTCCTGATGGTGTGTTAACAACTTTAATATCTTTGGATTCTGGATTGCTTGCGCAAAAAAAGAAGAAAGCAATTTAAATACGTCACCTTTGGGCTTTCCCCATTAGTTTCAGACTTTTTACCTTTTCCTGTATCAAAGTAATCAATAGTTAAAGCCCAGATTTCAGCTCTCACTATTTTGTTTACACTCAGATTCCATATCTGACTCTAGACCTCTTTTTAGACTATAAACATCACACCATATGGAGCCGTTCTCTCTATTGAAGCACTTTTTTTTAAAAATAAGACTGGAAAGACAAGTGTGTCTCTACATAAAAAGCTCAAATCTGCCTATAACGACCCTGATGTGAAAACACCATTCTGATCTCCAAAGGTGATGTTGCCTTTCTGCTCTTCTGTCACCATGTCAGCCTTCCAGTCTTTTCTGTCTGGCGCAGCCTCTCCAAACACTGCATGTCAGAAGTCTGTTCCCAGCATGCCTTGTGTGCATACATGTGGATTATACTGGCGACGGAACAATGTAGCAGTACATGACCCGCGAGCTGGAACATTCCACTGTGTGACCCCTGAGAGGCCTCCCACCCTACAGTAACCCTTCTCCCTCCTCCCCTGTGCGGATCCTGAGGAATGTCCCCGTGGTCCCACAGACCATTCACCACTCCTGCCAACTTTGCTTTTCCCAACTTCAAAAAAAAAAAAAAAAAGAAATACAATTCCCAGCCAGCGATAGACATCCCACTAACTATGGGATTAAGTTATAGTTCTTTTTTTTCCTCCACATTTCATCTGGGAGGAATGTGTTGTTTTTCCTCTGTAGTTCCTTTTCAAGGCGACTTGTTTTTTAGAGCCAGGATTGTTTTGTTTTTTTTCGGCCGTTGTGCAATGGGGGGCTGCATCACGACGGCCGCCCCCAGCTATTTTTGAAGGCTTTTGTGTTTTGATCAGCTACTGTTTACTATACAGTAGTTGTCTGTCTGTAAAGTTGAGCAGGCGTCGTGGGAAAGCCTGATGTGGAGGACTTTTTCACACTTTATGTTGAAGAAAAACGGGTTTGATTTCAAAATCATAGATGTGTGATATGAAAAATGTGAGCCATTATTTACCCTTAGAAAAGAACTGAGCGAAGAAAACAGTAGAGTCAAATCTTTGGTTGAATAACGATTGTACTTTTAAGTCATTGTTTATTTGTAGATGCTAATATGAAGAAAAACATAACAACACTTTACTGATGAAAACAGTGGGAGCACAAAGTGAGTCAGTGTCTTCCTGACACAGAGTAACCTCATCTGACCTGAATAAAAAACACTTCACTTTCAGGAGCAGAGGCGTAAACAGTCTTGTGACTCGAAGGTGAATTGTTCAAACCACAAACTTTAAAAATCTGTCATGGTGAGGTGAATGAGTGATTGTTTCCAATCCTTTCATCAGTGCTGTCGTCAACAGTGAACAATAAAAGTGACTATGACTCAGAAAAATAAAATCAAAATGTTTCACAACAATACCATGAAATATTACAAACAAACATAACAAAACAAAATTTTACGTCAAAAATAAAACCCCTAAGAGCTGACAATGCAAGATTACCCAAAACAAAAAACAGCTTTAAAAGATTGATCTCACAAAGAAAGCTTGGCCCTCTAAAATAAAGAGAGAGGGCTGTATACAGTTCACAGGCATTAAAACTAAAAGCAGCATCACCAGATTTTATACGGAACATCTAAAAGAAAGGCAGTGGAAGATCTGAGACTTGTAGCTGGAACATAAAGAAAGATGGCAAATTTGTCCATAAAATAGTTACCAAGCACACTGCATGTCATATCAGAATATTACCAGCAAAAGTGCAGTTGAGTTAAAAGTAGAGAGATGTATCTGAAACTTTAGCAGTAAATGTCAGATTTTGGTTTGGGCCCTTTGCAATAAAAGATCCAAGGCTTCAGCAGGGCTGTAACAAACTTAAATATTCACCATGAGAAATTCATTGTAGACGAGGCAGAACAACCGACTGCCCCTCTAGCAGTTGCTTCAATAGACCATAACACAATGCAGTCAGAAGATCGTCACGCTGTGCTGTTAAAGGAATACTTCACCCCCCAAAATGACAATTTAAAATTCAATTACTGAACCTATCTCAGATGTCTCTGATGAACGAAGAATCCAAAAATGGAGAAAATTCTTGATGAATTGAAGTCATAGGGGTTTGTGTTTAACAACAGCAAAGGTATATCAAAACATAATTTTACAAACTCTTCACACAACCAGGGTAGTATTATCCAAGTCTCATTTTTTCAGTTGTATGTTCAGTACTTCAAAAACAGGTCGTGCTTTCCGATGGGGAACTGAACTAAAATGACGCTTATCTGTGCTCTCTTAAAAACCAGACTATATTGACATTGTCATTTTACCTCGATGAACACAGGAGCTGCTGGTTTACCTCTGCCTCCATCAGTTGTTCGTGTTCATGTGTGACTTTGCTGAATGCAAACTGACCCTTTAAAACACCAAAGTCACACAATAACACCAACTAGCTAACTGACTGAGGCAACGGTAAACCAGCAGCCCCCATTTTCAGCAAGGTAAAATTATTGTTTTTGTCTATAGCGTCTGACTTTGGAGAGAGTCTAGATTAAGTTTTACTCTTCGTTCAGTTCCCCATCGGGAAGAGCTGTCTGTTTGAGAAGTACTGATACAACTGGATAAATTATACCTGGAATATACTGCACAGTTTTTGTGTTTTCTGATATAGTTTTGCTGTTTAGTTTTACTCACTCTTTGATGATTCAGTGTGCTTCAGTTGGTTGTTGTTGTTGTTGAGTTGCAAGATGACGCTGTGAACTGATTGTCTTGACTGTCACATTCATTAAATTAAAACAAAAATCCCCAAACAATCATTCCTCAAAAAAGCTGGCCTTTACAAAAACAAAGTTCAAACCAATGGTGTATTAAAGGACTTCATCAAATCATAATAACTAAGATTAACCCATCATTAACACATTGGCTTTAGACTGTAACCCCATGGTGCCTTCCATGCTCCAAACTCAATTCAACACACCTGCCTTTAATTAGGTTCCTGAGATGCCAGGTTAGATGGCACGTTAGAGTAACTCAAAGAAGTAATGGTAACTAAGGACTTGGTAGAAATGCAACTTGCAAACAACTTGTATCGGGGTAATAACACTTAAAATATATATATATCCATAAAATATTAATATCTTAAACATTTATTAGTAATACATCCGCTGCCTGTCTGTCATGGTGGTTGAAAGTCATTGTAGGAAAATCACTAGTTGTAAGTTTGCAAAAAAACAAACAAACAAATGAGTATCAAAGAAATTTTTCTCTTGTAGCATTTAGTATTTTAAAGCTTTGCCCTTGCTACAGCCAAGTCTTGATCTTTTCTTGATTTCTCTGTATTGTAACTTAACTAACTGACCAACCAGAGTTAATATTTCCTCCTATTGTTTTCTGACTTCCCCTCTCCTGTCCCTCTCCTCTCTGTCCCTGCAGGATAATGTGCGAGACTGTGCGTTACGAGAGACATGAGGCCAATGAAGTGCTCTACTAGTAAGTACCACAATGCCTGGAACTACATGGGTGTGGATGCCTGTGTGTGTGTGTGTGTGTGTGTGTGTGTGTGTGTGTGTGTGTAAATAAATATTGATGATATTGGGTCAGATACTTACATCTCTCCCAGCACGTGAACACATGAAAAACAACAGGGGCAGCCAACAAAACAATATTTCAATTCTGTGTGATCAGAGCGCAGTTTGGCTCGGGCCGTTACTCAGAGTTATTGATGAGCTGAGGCACGCTGGGTCCACACAAAAGAGCAACCTGGGGGACTTAAATGAAAACAAATGTTCATATAGCACAGAGGCAGTCAGTCGATGCCTTTATGAAGGTGTGTGTGTATCAGTGTCACGCCAAACCACTCTGCAACACTGCTGAAGAAGAAGAACCTAGGAGGGATTTCCACTCCACCTTCAACTTGATTTAATAAGTCAGTGTATAGTTAATCAAGACTGAAAAAATTGGGCTATAACCACTCTTAAAATCATTTCCTTCAATGCTAGCTAGTCACCGGTGGTAACGCTGATATGCCTCCCCTTTTCATCGAGAGGGTTAATATGATTGGAAAGCTGTATTGACAGCTCCCTGACAGCTTCTGAGCGTGTTTGGACGCTTTTTGAAAGGCTGCCACAACTGTGGTGAGCAGTGAGCACACACAGTGTTTGACTGCTGTCACATGTTGACGTCCTCCGAACACCCATGGTGAGAATTAAGGCAGTTAATTAACGTTATCAGCCTCTCAAGGGGCTACAGAGGGCGCATTGTCCCTTTTCTGCCTCCTGATCCCCTGTGTAGGTTTTTGTGTGTGTGTGGGTGGGTTTATATGTATGTAAGTGTGTGTGTGTTGGGGGGTGATGGCGAAGAGTCAACACCTCATTAGAAGCCCATCGGCAGCGTGGGAGCTGATTAAACAATAGGAATGCAGATTAAGCTGTGGTCGCATAATAGACTCCAGTTTCAGCAAGATTCCCTCAGGTCCCCCACACCAGTCACTACACACACGCACGCACGCACGCACGCACGCACACACACACACACACACACACACACACACACACACACACACACACACAGCAGCCTATAGCTCAGTAGCTTTCTTCTCATTTTTACTTATTAAATAGCATTCTTGGATAGTCTAGCCAAATTCCTGTTAAAATATGTAAATGTTCAAATGAAAACACTAAGTGGACGCACACAATTTACTTGTAAACAATGTTCTCAGATACAGACGGCTTAGTCTGGACTTAGTCTAACACCGCATTCAGACCAATACAGTGGCACGAGTCAGAGCTGCATCAGCTGACTCGCCTTCGCGGCCCTCCTCCAGATTTGTGTTTCAATGATGGTGGACTTTGGCATGAATGTTTTCCTCGACACAATACCACAGAGAGACCTGATTAGGATGGAAATTAATTTAATGATATTGATCATTGATCATAATTTAATCTTGTTGTCAAAATTAGAGTAATAGAGACAGAGAGAAATAGATGGAATGCAAATGAGTGACAGAGGGCACAGAGATTGCACGATAGGGCTGCTAAGAAGTCCCTTCTTCACGTTGTCTTTGAATTTTTGCATATAACCAAACAACAGTAGCATGATGTCTCCCAGTGTGTGAGTTTACACAGTATCCCAGCATCCCAGAAGCAAAAGAGGCTTGACAGGAGTGATGTGTAACACAACAGTTTAGGTCTCTGGCATGACATATAATACATCAGCAGTGCATGGCACCTATCCCCCTCCTTGAATTAGCTGCTAATTGCTTCTAGCTGCTTTTAACATCCCCCGGCAGTGGGTCGCACATATAAAATGTCATGAAAACGTCACAGCTCTATGGTCCCATCCTTCTGGCCGCCCCTTTTACACAAAAATCAATTTTTGTCAGGATCACTTTAATCAAAGAAAACTTAATTTCCATTTGCATTGTTATATTTGGCGGTATGGCTCTGTTCTGGGGCCTCTCTGCCTTTCCTCGGGCCAACACAGAAAGCCTACGCGCCTACATAGAAGGCCTAAGGTGGAGAGAGCACACTTCTCTGCCCTTCCACGCGCTTGTGTAGAAAGCCTTAAGGCAGAGAGAGCAGACCTTTCTGCCCTTCCATTCGCCTACATGGAAAGCCTAAGGCAGGGAGAGCAGCATCAATGACAAACAGAAATGACATTGATAAGTTGAAAAGGAGGAGCTGGGGTGGAGGCGGTTTGCAAAGCAGCTTGCAGAGGAAGCAGCAACAGTAGGCAGGCCAGAGCAGTTTAAATAGGGCGCCCTGGCCAATTGGTTGCATAGACAGGAATCATGTGATCTCTCAGCTGACTCCCCTCCATCAATCAGCTGCTCCATCAGTTGACTGGGCTGTTTGAGATCAGCCGATGAGTATGTCACCAACATTTTCGCCAATATGATGCCAGAATAAACAGCAGGGTTTTCCTGACCATTGTAAGACCTGGGTGTAACAGTTCTCCATTGTTTTTTCTCACCAGCCCCGCCTACTTTTGCACACCAGTAACCCACAACTGCACTTTTGGAGGGGAAGAGGCACAGTTCTGAGAACCGTTAGCTTGCCAAGCCTTGGCAACAGGAAGTCTGTCGTTTACCCCTTTACAATTCCATCCTCTACTCCGTCAATCCATCAGCAATCCGCCGTGCTCCCAGGCCATTTTAAAGGGTGTACTTGAATTATTATGCTATTATATTATCATTATATAGGTGGCATAAAATGGTCTCAAAATGACAATAATATCATTGATTGTGATTATTTCTGGGGCAATGTGTCGTCCAACAAAAGTAGTTACGGTGAAAGGCCTAATGTTTGGTAATAATGTAATAAGATGTTGCACAATACCTGGTTTATCAGTGATGAACAAAGTCTCTCTGCTAACACTGACAACCACTGATCAGCCTGTAACAGCTGTCACACATGAATGCAGCCTTAACATGCGTTCATTAGACCTGCATCATGTGTGCTTCTTATAGAAAAGAGGTGTAAGAAGAGTAGAGGGGAGTAAAACTATACTTTGCTAAGTTTACCTCCAGGCTAAAGCATCAGAGCACAGCAGGTTAGTGTCTTTTTCTTTATTGGTTCATTCAAATTGCTCAAGTGTTAAAGGCATATAGTTTCTAGTTGTGTGTTTTTTACAACTGTTTATGTGTACGAGTGCTTGCATGTATGCATGTGTGAGCCTATAAAAAGTCTGTCAAGCATCTCACTGATAAGAGCTGGGTGTTAAACAGCAGCAGATCAGATTGACTTTCCTCCCGTGCAAGATCCTAATCAAGTTTCTCTTGTGAAAAAATACAAGCTTTAACAGCCTGTCTTCATTTCCTCGTCTATTTATAACAACGGCTGTAATCTGCTTGGGAATGAGGCCTCTAAAAGTCAATGGGGGGATTTAATTGTGACAGTATCTCTATTAAGTTGTAAAAATTGTGTTGCCTGTACGTTGAGTCATATGTCAGATGGTTATAAAGACAGTTCATCTCCTTAAAATAAAAACGCACCTTCAAATGAAACATGCTTTTAGTAAAGCTGCAGTGATAAATGTCAGGTTTCAGGTCGAGTAATCAAAATGGCAGACTCACACACTTTAACTTATAATGTAAATGTACTTGTAGGGAGCATTCTTTACTATAGTGCATCTACATTGTCTGACCTTAGTATGTGCTGAGGTGAAGTGTGGGAATAACTTAATCCTGGAAGTGAAGGGAGTGAAACCAAAACATTAAGGGAGGATGTTACTGCAAGTGTGATTATGTATCTTAAGCAATTTACTGTGTAATGGATATCAAACATTTTCTGGGAATCCAGTTGAGAAACAGTTAATAGATAATAAGGCATTATATACAGGAAAAACTAATGTTTGGACCCCCCTTGGTGCTTAAGTATATGATGACCAAACTAGAGTGATTAAATCTGGGTGGCAACTATGATTATTTTCTTGATTTACTAGTGAATCTTTTTGTCTATAAAATGTCAATCACAGTTTCCGTAAACTTAAAATTGTGTCTCCAAATCACCTTTTTCTCCGAGCAAACCCAAGTATATTCAATTTACTATCACATGTGGCACATAAAAATCATCAAATCTGTACAGTTGAGAAGCTTTAATTTTGATTTAATTTAAATGTGTGCATATGATAAAGTAAGACAGAAGAGGAAAAAAAATCCAATACAAAACCATGAGAAATTGTACAAGAAACTTACCTACTATTGAAATTAAAGGCTCTAAATTACTTACTGACTCCTTGTCTTCTTCCCCTATGGGACAAAGGCTTCAACGAGCTCTTTCCATTGCATTCGATCCTCGGCAGCCTGTTACGCCTCTCCCCATGACAGGTTCATCTTTTCCAACTCCAGTGTCACAGTTCTGTGCTAGGTGGTTTTGGGCCTTTCGGGTTTTCTTTTGCCTGGTGGTGTCCATCTTAAGGCAACTCTCATGATCCGGCCCTACTCCATTCTTAGCACATGGACTAGCCATCTCAAAAAGGCTCTGTATGCTTACCACCAGTTTACAAACAGACATACTATTTCTAAAATATCTAGAAATGGAAAAAGAATATGATTTCTATATGATTTTGATAGGTAATAATAGATGGTAAATGGACCTGCACTTGTATATCACCTTTCTAGTCATCGTCGACCACTCGTAGGGCTTTTTACACAAGTCGCTTTTTTATATGAGTCACATTCATTCATTGGTGGCTGAAGCAACCATACGAGGTGCCACCAATTTCTAATAACACACTCACACACCAGAGGAACAGCCATCAGGAGCAGTTTGGGGTTCAGTATCTTGCCCAAGGATACTTCGACATGCAGACTGGAGGAGCCAGGGATCGAACCACTGAGCTTCAGATTAGTGGATGACCTGCTCAATCTTCTGAGCCACCCTCACCAGAGATAAGCCGAAACCACTGAGTTAAACAATGAATACTTTCTGTAAATATTTGCCAATTAACTTTATGTTAATCAACTTATTGTTTCAGCTGAGCAGAGATTT